CACTTGTCGCCTTCGGTTTCACTCCCCAACAGAGTTGAGCAGGAAGACAACGTCGACTTGGGAGACAAGTTACCCGTAAGTTAAACGGAGAACCGCTTGTGACTCTCGCCTGCTAATCCCGGCATTGTGTTACTTTCGTCTAGGATCGTTAACATCGGGGTAGCCCGCACGTAGCATATTTATGCTATCACGAAATCCGAGATACAATGCAAGGCGATCGAGTTACGCCACGCTGCCTTGTGTGCACGCTTATGATTCTCACTAAGACTTCTTATGGTCGTATGACGTGCGTACGTACGGCAGCGCGTTATTGTAGCAAGCAACCGCGTCTTTATCAACTTACGTACTGAATCCTTGATGTAACATTTAACGTAGTCGAATTGCAAACAATCGACTGTCTCCGACGTCAAAGCGTACGTCGCATAAGCACTGCGAATTTAATTAGCGAAAGATAGGTAGGTAGGTAGAGAGAGAGAGAGAGAGAGAGAGAGAGAGAGAGAGAGAGAAAATAGAAATGACATTCGCGTTTCCGATTGCTGCAACTCCATTTTTGGATCGCTCCGAAATTAAAGGCCTTCATGGTACAAATCGCAAATTACAATTCCACACGAGACAAAGCGAACCAAAATGACCAAATAAAATTTGCCGAACAATTTAATCATCGTGCATCACGCAGAACAATGTAAAATAATGAAAATATAAAATATGCGAGATGTAAAATTCTCTCTCGAAATTAAACGGATTTCTTGGTGAATCGTTGATCAACACGAATATGATTTTTGTTATCGTAGGAAAGAAAAACTTCATCAATGTTCAGCTACAATTCGATATTCAGCCTCGAGTACGGATTGTAACCAATATGAGAGTGAATCGTTGGCACGAAATTATTATTTCTACTAGTATTATTAAAAGCATGATAAACATAACGGAGTCACACCTACATTGCAGAATCGGATACCCTCTGATTGTGATTAGAGCGATCGACGATGTCACTGAGGTGTACCGATGTATGTTAACGAGGAATCCGAAACAATCATTGATACACAAACATTATCAGAGCACACAAACCGCATATGGTTACATAACATACATACGCCCAAGTATTCCTCTGTTCTCATTCGATTTTAAAGAGCACATATGCGGCATTTGCACGGATGAGATAGTTTGGATTCAATTGCATTGACATTTATGTGCGCGTAAATAATTTGACTAAATGAAGCTCAAATCAATAATAAATTATCTCTCGTAAGCTGCGCATCGCCACTACAATGCTTCGATCGAACGATCTATATCGAATCGCTTCGAGCGTTGTATGAACACACGGTCTGCGATTTCACACAAAATCGTCCTGCGTGATCTGTAAATCTATCCGATGAGTTACATATAAATTATCGCGAGAACGCAAATATCGTATAAGCTCCTTTACGTAAGTATCCACTACGCAAGCTATTCGTACACTCTAATTAGATTACATCGTAAAACATTGGATTACTAGGTGGTGTGACTTCTACGGCAACGTATTAGCATGTAAAAGTTGCAGAAAATGGATTTCTTAAATAGAAGGTTAAAGAAATTACAGAGCGGTACGCCTACGAATCATATTATTTTTCCGATTCGTTATTAATATTTATGGTCTTATCTTTGTTACGCCATACCACTCTCGACAATGTCTCGAAGAGACGTGAGTTACGCCTTGTTTCATAAAGGGCACCGGTCTGTATAAAGATCCATTTATGTCGAAGACATTCCCTGAACTTGCTAAAGAATAGTCTTCACACATAATCGACCTATCCTTGACTCCAGCGATCAATATCTATTATCAATATTCAATTACTGAACGGTACTATTAACGATATTCATCGGAAAACTGTCAATATGAAAAATACTGACGCGAATGAAAATAGTTTATTTCGACATTATTGATAAAATCCGCGATATAATTATAATATGATTAGGAAACGACTAAAAATGAAAAAATCAATGAAGACAAAATTTAAAGACTAATTGCTCTATCAGGTGAATGCACCAACGAACGAACGCGTCAATCCACGCTTCGAGTCGGCTGGTTAAATGAGCGCTTTCGTTTTACAAAATGACGGTAACCGGAGAGGCGAACGTTGGCTTTCGCGCCCACCGCAGTTGCACAAGCGTGATACAACAATTAGTTGCAAATCTCGCGCGCTGGACTTTCTAAATTCATACGAATTGGACTGAGAGCACGATAAATCGCGACGCAATAAACTGTACGTATCGCGTGCAACCGACGCCGTAAGTAACGGTGAACTGCGTTTTTCTGTGCGTTTCATCTCTGAGAGAGGTGCATGCAGATATAAGCGCATTAAGCGCGTGGCAACAATCCGCGAGATAAAAAGCGACTTGCTCTCTCGCGTATACGTGTATTTGTGCACCAACCGCTTCTGAAAACCGCGACGCGCATGAGGGATCGCGATCGCGTATAGTTGCGCAAGGAAATCCGATCGTCTCGGTCACGTAATGGACTCGCGAGAAAAAGACGCTGGGCATTAAGGGAGACAAACGACGGTGACGTGGCGATTTGTCCTACAGAGGTGCAAGAAATAATATAGCGGCGGAATCGAGGCCGCAACAGACATAATGACAGTTCGGGTGAGTAAATTAACCATCGCAGTGACGGCATCGACCACAGCGGGCCGCTCAGAAAGGATTTTTTGTACTTCTTAATGAGTGTTTGGCGAGGCAATTAATACACATCGGATGAAGCGGTCAATTGCGGTCGATGGCGACAATATTAATATCGTTGACATACCAATAAATAATGTCTTACGAGGAAAGTTGTTGATTTGTATAAGTTAAACCTCTGCATTTCTTTTCTAACAAAAATGAAATTTCAAGCTCTTTCTTCATCTTTGATCAAATTTCAATTTTCATTAAATAACATTTAAGTTAAAAAAAACTATTTGTAGAATATATTACTCTACTAATGTAGTAGAATATATTATTCAAATACATCGTTAATTTATTTTTATATATTATTATTATATATTATTTACTTCAGCATGTACAAAAGTCAAGGGGACTTGTTTTACAAAGAGAAAATACTATCTCATCCATCCCATCCATTCCTTTACCTATTTGGTAATGTAATATACCGAAAGAAGGATTTTGTTAAAATTTCTAAACATTTAATACAGATCTGAAAATAATTTTCATGGTCAAAATAATTATGTAAAAGATTCAAGCATGATGAGCAATGTTGCAAAACGTTTTGACATTTTTGCAATTAGTTTGAGGGTCCTACATAATTATTTTGATTGTCCAACAAAATCATCTTCAAATCCATATCTAACTAAATTTGAGGTATTTTAGCAACTGTCCATTCCGTATAAAGGTGCGAAAAATAACCCTAATTTTTCCATATTTTTTTAAAGGGCTTAGGACAGTAAAAGAACTTGGACTGGACCCAGATGGAGGAGATAAAAATGGAGAGTTAAATTAATAAAACAAATTCGAGCGAAAAATGATGCGCTTTCAGGACCATATGACTCGTTTAAATAGGTCGGTCTTTGTATTCATTAAGATATCGGTTTCAGTTCGGAGAAGGAGTTTCTAATTGCTTCGCGACCATCATAGATACGATAGTACTGCAATTCTACCCGGTCATTTTGCGCGCCAAAGGACGACGAAATCGCGCACAAGAAATTGAGTACCGTTTCAGCTCGTGACGACTTCGTCGAAATGGCAATGGAACAAGACAATCCGTAGCGTGCGCACGTCAGAGATACAATTTATCGCGACCTAACAGGTAGCCGACGGCAACAATTTTCAATTAGTTCTGTCCGAGTAACGTCGCGGGCGAGTCCATCCTCTTGGGAGAAAATTTTCCCTCCCGTCTCGTAAATCCCGGATGAAACCGTTAACAAAAATTGCGATGAGTCACGTCACGGGTTCGCCGCGATCGCCGTCGATAGCGAGGTTCCATTCTATGAATTTATGCGGATACCCGATAAATCGACGCGCCGGCACAATTTTTCTCGTTAACAATGGTCAATAAAATCCTACGTACGAGGCCCGCGCGCACATTGTACCCCGGTGATAACAGTCAACGAATCGTGCGAATTATTCCTGATCGCGTCATCGGCGAGATTTTTTATCCCGCTCGAATGTTCCGCTCTCGCACCTTCCTGAACAAAGGCGCGGGCAGAGGCATGAAGTTCCGCATTCACGAATGCTGATTAACAATCTTCCATTATTTCTTCCTTTCTGTTTACATCAGAGATAAATGGAAAGTCTTTGTCGAAAAACATCGGACGTAAAATGCCAAAAGGCGCCAAATCTTCGTAAAAAAGTATCAGACATCAAACCCGCACAGCATAAAATATTTCAGAGTTTTAAAATATCTATATATTATCTTTTTCTTACAATAGACTTGTACAATATTTTTAAAATATTTTCGAAACAATGCAATGTTTTACAAATGTTTATAAAATATTTCTGAAACATTTTATTGAAATATTTCACAAAAATTATTTACATAAATATTTCATTGCTGTATGAAAAATTATTGCCGAGAGATGCGGAATTGAAAAATCTCGAGATGAGATGAACACTTTCATCAATCAGGTTCCTCGTAGTACAAACGGCACGGATGTGGCTCTCAAAGCGGCTCTTTTATATACGACCGATGCGACAGGGGCAAAAGTAGAACTAAACTGTAAACGGTACTTCATGCTGCGTCCAATAAGTCATGCACTGAATAATGTGATGTGCCTGTACGAACGCATACAGATGTAAGGCTTACAGGTATCGCGAGGCGGAAAGGCTGGGCCGATTCCACGCGTGCACGTACGCACGGGGCCCACCCGATCGCGAATGCGAGCGGATTAATGGGCAATAAATTCAAGCGCAGGACCGGTTAATTATCCAAGTCATCTACGGGGCCCGGGATGACGTATCGCCCAGCTACGATCAATACGCGAGGATCTCTCGCTCTGGTCCCTTCCAACGATCGTGTTGTAACTTACCTCATGAGATACGGGATTGTTTTTATTACGGCCGGTGTTGGATGCGTTATTAATGGAGGAGAGCGTGGTGAGGGTCGCCGTACCGACGCCACCGACGGTTTTCTCGCTGACCTTCGTACCAGCACCGCCGACATCCTTGTGCAACGTTCCAGGACTCTGTAATCAGAAAAAGAACGGGCGTTGGTTACAGCGATCTGGGACGCAGTTGTCTAAATAATCGAGTCTTGAGACACGCTCAAATTCGACATGGAAAGAATACTTTTGTGCTGAGAATCTAAAAATTTACCAAAATACAAATCCGAAAATAATTTTGCTAGACTATCAAAATAATTGTGTAGAAGACTTTTTGCAGCATTGCTCTCATCATGCTTGTAATTATTTTGATGGTTCAATAAAATTATTTTCATTTATATATATATCTCTCTCAATTTTTAGATTTCAACAAAATCATTGTTTCCGTGAAAATACGTAAGTAACTTGTTGCATTGGCTCTACCATAAAAGCTTTATAAAAATTATAGAATTCACTATCTATAGGCTGATATGCATAATCGATTCTTATATTTAAGACCGTCTTAAGTATAATTTTAAGATTTCATAAATCAAAACAAAGCCGTATATTAGCTAAAGACATTACTTAACGGTTTTGAAATAAGAACGAACTATAAATAGCATACAAGTTATCTTTTCACGATATATTTCTCGTTTCGAAGACTTCGCTGATAGAATTATCTATTCGCGCTTGAAAAAACAATTATCAATTAACTGACCCACATCTCCGCTGTTGTAATAATAAGGCTTTGCCCCAAAGTGACAATAAAAACTAATAATTTTATTCGTCCCGCTTTATCGCTCAATTATTTCGATATTCCACTCGTTAATGGCGCGATCTCTTTTGACTCGCCCGTTTTTCGCCTACCGCAATCTATCCTCGAGTCCTCCCGTTTGCCTTTCTCGTCTGCAGACCAAACACGCGATTTAGCAATCGGAGACAAAGCGTTAACGTGGGTGGCTTCAAGCGCAAGCCGAGCCGCGCGTCGGTGTTGACGGGACACGTGTGCGGATGCGCATCGTTGCACGTGTGTGCGTGCCACGAGTGCGCGTCCACGATATGCAGGCGATAAGTGCGCTGAAGAAATGACGCCGCGGGCGATTACGATTCCGATGCTGCGCTCTCATTCATTGTGCGATCCTCTTCGATGGAATCACGACTGCAATGTTTGATACCCGATGATAAATATCCTCTACTAGCTTCGTTTTCTCTTGGAAAGCTATTTTTCACGCGGAAAGAACAGTTTTGTTGAAGTATAAAAATTTAACCAGACGCGAATCGAAACATGTATTTGTATTTATGGAAGTGTTCGGAACGGATTCCGATCGGAATTTTCCATTTTCCCTAAAAAACACAATAGAAATTTAGGCAATAATTGAATAATTCCGATCGGAATCCATTCCGAATAATTCCGTAACATGAATTTGGAAAATAATTTTTTTGAACCGTCAAAAAAATTAGATACGTAGGACGCTCAAAATTTATTGAAATGTCAATATTTTTTACAATATATTATTTACTATTATATATTCGAGCGTCCCATATAATTATTGTATTATTCTGATTATTTGAATTACACTATTTTGAATATTTTAATAGTCCAACAAAATTACTTCCAGATCTGTATTTAGCTAATTTTTAGACCCTTCAGAAATTCTGTGTAGAAATTCTTTCCATGTAAAAATTGCTCTCATTGTTTGAATTGCCATTTATACGTTTAAGTGGAATTAATATCATTCTCGTATTTCGAGATTGTAGTATCCGATTCAAGGAGACAGATAAATGCTCGATGCGGATAAATGATGCGATTTTCGTGGGCGGAACGGAATCAGGCTAGTGGAACGAAGGAGCGAAAAAATATCGATGCGCCGCATCGCGGTGTATTTTTCCGCGTAAATAAAGCACGTTTGACGAACAGAAAATCTACGGTCGTCTCGGTGCATCGGAGAACAATCGGACGGCAGAGACGGTTTTGCTTTGCAAAACAATGTAAGAATAATTAAAGCTCGTCTCGTTAGTGTCGGACAATGGAGCGCGATAGATTCGCCTCGCTGCAAATGTGGAACGATGCGCATGCAAAGGCGTATCGTTATTGCAAATGGTATATCCAATGCTGCACTGATAATCGAAGTCATGAGATCTATTTTTTATATTTCTGCACTAGACCGCACTACAATTCTCCTTCTCGCTTTCGCCTGATAACAAACTTATGTCTGTCTCTGTTTTAAAGTTCCAAAAGTGTACAATAGTTCGATCACAGAAAAAATTTTTAGGTCGCTGTATAAAACTTTGAAAGAGATCGAATCCTGAACAATATTCGGATACAGTCTCATGCCTTATTTATTCCGAAATTGAATCGCCAAGAAATCTTTTTCTCGACTAACAAAAAGAGCATCGCCGCTACGTAGCCACGATGAGAATTAACTGTAAGCCTGTAACGGTTCAAAGGCGGCGCACTCATTACAGACGATTTATAATTCGCCATCGGGATCTATGGAACGTTTATAAACGGTGCAGTGACCCCGCGGCTAATGCGCAGTGACAGAAATCGATGTATTCTTAGGTTGGCGAGTCCGCCCCTAATTATACGCGAGTCTATAATTATATATTGATGTTTAATTAGAGGGCGACCCTGGATCCCGAAGAAAAAAAATCTTTGCATAAGAAACGCGGTCAAGAACCTACGCGAACCTCATCAAACACGTTGATGGGGAGACCATCGTACCTACTTACTTCATCGACTGCACTCAACAATGGAAAATAGGTCTAACAGCCTAGACTTCCATTTAGGTAGGTACCGGAGCTGAGATTTATGTCGCTAAAGCAAACTCTAATTAGCAAACTCTCGACTATGCTATATACTGCCCTGAATTGAAGTCAATAGGATTTTAAACGTGTACGATAAATTAATCTCAAGATAAATTTTTGTACGTAATTCATATAAACAATTTATATTACTGCGATATTGTCACATTCGGGAGAAAGAGTGAGAAGTGTAAACTAAGCTGGAGGCAACATTTATACTCACGTACAGCAGTCGTGAAATGAGCAAGACCTGTTTATCACGTAACACAAGCTTTATTTAAACCGAATACAGGGAGCGGTAATCAGAAACCGAAACCGTCACACATCCGTAAGCGGTGATAACTCCGACGAGACTCTCTTGTCGTTGTTTATAGTTTCAGACAGTTTGGTGGTAGGGATCAGTGTTTTTTTTCTTAAATTGTCGATATTTTTCTGATATGGGGAGACACGAACAAACGGAACTTCATGGAACAATATTTTCACTTTCCGTCAATAATATTAAATTTTCATCCCTCGTAACTTTTGAATCTTCAAACTTTAGTTTTTTTTTATATTATTCCGAACTGTATAAAAGTCTAAAAAAAATTCTTACATACTTCTGAAAGCTTTAACAAATTTTTGTTATCACAGAAATTGTATTGTATTTTACTTATTTCTGAGAGATTTAAATTTATCTACTAGAATTTTCACAATAAAAAAGTCGACTATGTTTTTAAAGTTCAACATTGTCAGCGGAGAGTTAAGTTTAAAATAGGCAACAAATATATGTATGTATTACATGGTCGTCTGACTTTACCTCTGTAAGTCATTTTAATACTAAATGTGCGGATCAGAATACGGATCTATGACATAGGCGGGACAGGAAGTCACGGGGAAACGGAAGGGAGGAAGCAACGCGGTAAGTTCGTTAGACCTGCCTGTTCATACCATTGTCAATGTCACATCGGTGGATAACCTGGTGTCACAAGTGTATGGATGGCAGGTCAACGCACGTATCTACGCAACGGTACATACTTTTTTTTCCACAAAATCGATACGAGTATATAGTCAAAACATGTCGATTACGCGCGGCAACATTTGTTCTAGCTTCTTTTCTAGCGGACGGTGAAAATGCGAGTAGTATAAGAGAACGTCTGAAAAAAAATTGTTAAGGAAAGTAATATGCCTATGTTCGCCAATCGATGTTCCCACAACAGAACTTTCTTCCCAACGTGCTCAGAATTATCCGTTAATTAAAAACGCTTCCTCACGATGTATTCATAATTATTATTGAAAACGTGATGACTCATGTACAGAATTACCGTCAAGATATTATAGTATTAATACAAATTTTTTAGCAGCTTATATTTCTTTAGATTAGATTCTTCTCTTCGCCACTTCGTGATTATCTTAATCGACAGATGGCCGAATTTTCCATCTGTGGAAAAGCGCTGATACCTGAGATGGAGTCTCTTTACCTTAGGTCAACCTTAATGGACGAGAAGGGGTCGAACAACGTGAACGGAAGAAATTCGACCCTTGGTAAAAAGGGTCATGAACGGATCGGAGCAAAAAGTGTAAGAGAACTGTGTGGGTAGAGAAGAAGAGAGAAACAGGAAGGCGTAAAAGGGGGAAAGCTTAGATTTCAGTAACTGAATGCGTGAGAAGTACCAGGGCCAGCTAGTTCTATTTAAATTATCTGTATAATACATGACTGATGTAGTAGGTACAGAGTGAGAGACGACAACACAAAACCTTGTAGAAGATCCTTTTATGACTAACAGAAAGCGTATGAAAGAGGGATAAATTTAGGGTCTCACTGTATCATAACGGGAGAGAGAACGGGAGAGAGAAAGAGAGAGAGATGTGAAATGCCCTACTTTAGATCAATCTCGAGATGGATAATAAGGACCAAGAATTGTATAAAAATTTACAATACCCATATTATTGTTAAAAAAATAAAAAAGCTAACCTTACTCCAAAGTTTATACTTGTTTATACTTACACTCCGCGTTTCTAATACAAGCCCCACTTTTATATATATGTACTTATTTAAGAAAGAAAGCGAGGTTTGAGTGACTAAAAAGAATTGAAAAGTTAGTTGATCGTGATTTTATCTGAACATGAACGAACATGTCGCAAGGCAAAATTCATCCGCATATAAATAGCAGCAGGCAGAGAGGAAAAAAAGGGGAAAAAAGAGATATGATAAAGTTGGACACTCTCTCATCCACCCAATGCGGCACCCTATCATTACGCTCGCTCAGAGGCAAACCTTAATCTCGGGACTGGTGGACGTCGTGGCTCTCGATTTTTCTCGA